TTATGAATTATTGCTAAGTCATTTAAGCTGTGCGAAATTATTAATCACCATCAGTCTATTGCTTAGATTTTTTTTATTCCACCGCTGATTTTGTGTTAATTGAAATTATTCAAGCCTTTGATTCACAAAGGTCAAAATAAAGAGGGAAGTGATGGGACAAGGAAATTTTTCTTTTTTTTTTTTTTTTTTTTTTTTTTTTTTGCCAAATGAAATTTAGTCAACAGGCGGTCATGTCTGCTTCTGAGATTCCTTAAACTATCCTACAGGGTTTTTTGAGATTTTCACTTCAAAGGTAAATGTATATTACCAGTGCACCATAAGTATTACAATGTATATTTCGCCTATAAGGATCAAAACCTAGAAGTTTAACATCTGTCAGGATGGTATTTTTATATGCTATGCTACTCTATTCAGATGGCAGAACACTTTGTATCAGTCTATATTTCTGCTTGGGACACTGTTGGAGTTTTGTTTACATCTTTTTGCCTGACATCTGACAGTGTTGTGAATGGAAGGATATCACATTCAGGATTTGTTCAGCTGAAGCTGGATCATTTTCTATTGCTGTATTATTTACCCTTGTAGGGGTGTTCCTTAGGGCTCAATCCTTGGCCCAACATTATTTTCTATACATATGAATAATATTGGTTACATTTCTGAGACAAAATTACTGATTATCAGAACTTCTATACCTCTACAGATGGTTGTCTGTTCTTTTTACATAATAAAAATGTTTGAACCATCTTTTTGACACTAAAGGCAGTTTTTGTGATATTTTTTTGTCCACCTTCATTCACTCTTCTGGTGTTCAATGCAGTCTTTCTGTGTATGATGTCATCAGTCATCTGCCACTCTCTAGTTACAGGGTGTGCTATAAATACCCCATGCATAAACATGGACTAACACAATGTGCTTCTAATTCTTGTTTGCTGCTCATCATTGCATTTTTGCATTTAACCTTACCTGACTTCCAGCTTGTTTGTGTTGCCTGTTGACAGCTGCAACTTTATTGCTGCTAATAATATTTTGTTGATGATTATTACCTGAAGGAATTTTGTTTAAATTACCTTACAAACTGCATTTTGCTCAGTTTGTAAGGTCATTTAAAGCTGTTGCTGGATTCATTTAAAAATGTACAAATTCACCTGGACAGTAGCTCATATTTTTTCCCCACTCATATTCATAGCGCTGCACAGCATCAGAAAATCCTGTGATAGCGACAGTATTGGTAAACATTGTGATGATATCTGATACGATATGTGCCTTTTATTCTCCTTTTCACTCTTTCTCATCTTTGCATCCTTCAAGTTTTGACCTTTAGCGTTTTGGGTAATCTCGTCTGTCTCCAGGGTGAGCATCGGTTGCCATGAAACTGTAACTGGCTAAGCATTACATTAGCATGTAAAATATATGTTCATAATACTTGGAAGGTTTCAGGCAACAGTTATTGCACTCCTAACAGAGTTTTGCAATATGAATGTTTCCCATACTCATGTTGTCAATATATTTGTAATATATTGGCCTGCCTGACTTATTCAGATTGCATGAGAGCAGTGGGGGATGTCTTAAATGTTTCTGAAATATATGCTACTGTTTGTAAAGACACTATGGTTTATTTTTCTTCAGTTGGCTAAACAAAGATTAAATTGGAAATAAAAAGAAAATACTGCAGCTTAGAACTGCTCCTCATAAGGCCTGCAGCAGAAGATTCACAGACTAATGGACCTCATTCATCCTTTAGTCTGCAGCAAAAACAAAAAGATGCACAATCAGGAAATAAAAGTTCTCTATATATTTTTTTTTCTTCATAACTCTAGATTTGTTCTTTTAATTTATTTGTAGTGTTGCACAAATGATTTTTCAGATTGGACAATTTTCTATAATCAATAAAGACAAATTGTGTTCTAATAGAGAAAGTCAGTGTGGCTTAAACCCTGCTCTCTGGCTGAGTTTGACCTGAAAGATAAAGCGGACTATGTCAGGCAGGTAGAATAAGGCTAGCCGACCAAATTGGCCTTGAGAAATTGAAAAGATAAAACATGTTATATCTGACATTGCAATGAGCACTGGCAGCAGGAGCAAAGACCCTTTATGTTCTAAATGTTAGATTAGCATCTGGATTCAGTCCCGCCTGTGATTGTTCGTATAGTTTCTTTTCATCAGTGAGGTCAGACCTCGGTCTGCTCAAATTTAAATCACAGCGAGCCTCAGATGTCTGTTATTATCTCACTCGAAGGGCGCTCACATTACATCTTCAGCGGAGTCCTGACCCTGTCACCTTGCCACTCGAACAATGCAGGCCGTTAGCTCGCTTCTCAAATCACCACCTCCTTTTTCAGCTCTAATGTTTGGTTTGGTTCAAGACCTAAAATTACAGGGTGGTGTAAGATAATATCAGAGCACTGAGTTATGCAAGGCTGTGATGCTGCATCGTTGCATAAGGACTGAGCTGAAGTTCATTTATTGAGGTTTTGGCCCTTTTTTCTTTTTTTTTTTTTTTTTTTTGACTATCCGCTTTGCATAAACTGTCTCCTCCACATTTTGCTGTCTGTTCCGCTGGCCACTGTCTCTAGACTCTGAGATCCTGTTTTAGTTTTGATAGTTTTGCTTGCTTCCCCCCACCCCCCCTCTTGTAGCCAGCTTTAAAGCCTTTATTGTTCCTCTTTTAATGTCGGCCAGATTTCTTTCACCCACATCCCGTTCATGCGCCTCTGAACCACGTTATCCCTTTCTGTCCCGTCTCCACTGTGCGTCTGGGTGTGTATGTTGACGAATGCAGCTATCGCACAACAATCAGCCTAAATCCCAGCCTCACGAAGACACTTAAAGACAAACGCTTGCACACCTGTCTTGGTTTTATGCCCTGTGGCAGGGCAGCGGTGTACTGTAGCAGGATGTGCTTGTGTGTGAGTGAGTGCAGCTGCTTTTGGCCATCCACGCTGCCTTCTCGTTTTCAGCTTCATTTCCCCCCCTAATGAAGATTCAGAGGCAGTGCAGCTACTGGCGCAGGGCAGGAGAACTGAGCGGAGGAGGGCGGGACGAGGAAAGAGCAAAGCACGAGGCAATGACAGCAGGAGGATGAGGGAGGGAAAAATTAGACCGCGATGAAAGGGAGAGGAAGTGGGAAGATGGAGGGAAAACAAATGTGGGAGAAGCATGGAAAAAGAAAGGATGAAGCGGGAAGAGAGCATCTACAACAGAGAGGGACAAAGAGAACGCTGATGAGTTTTGCGATAAAGATGACTAGAAAGAAAGTTACCCCCTCTCTTTCACTGTCTCCTTAATTAGCTCTCTGGCTGTGATGAATGGCGCGGCACTTAGGACCCAATCGGCAAGCCGACCTTGTCATGTGTGCTGATGGGGTGGGGTGACTCTCACACCTCCGCCTCCTCTTTCCCCTTCTCTCTATTGTACCACCTCCTGTGGAAGCAGATGCTGCTAATATCTGGGTCTGTGTGTGTTTGTATGCATATTCACTCCTTCTCTGGGTTTTAGTGCTCTCGTATGGCTTGTACATCAGCATACATGAAAACGCGGCCGTTGTTTAATTTGCTGTGTTTTCTATATTTCAGGCTTAGATGTAGTGATATATTATCATTGACGTTAGCATATAGCTACACAAGTACTTCCTCAAACATCAGCGAATCCCCGTAAGTTTCAGAAATAAGTCTATTCCTATCAGCACAACTGGTTATTGTGATGATCTGCTCTTGATGCAAAAAAATAAAAAATAAAAACAAGAAATTTATATGGGGATGAATACTGTTGCGCTCCTCTATAGCTTGGTGCATCTGTTCCACAAAAAATACATAGAACTTTGAATATTATTTTGATGTTAATTTTTCAGTTTGCCTTATTTAGTCATTCTTGGTGTGAAATAATGAAATTAAAAATTCAGACCAAGTGTCTAAAAGTAACCCAGGTACTTTGGGTTATCTTTGGAAATGACTGGATAAAGAAGCGTAAATAAAATTAGGGAGAGGAAGTGGGAAGATGGTACATGATTACCATCTTCATCACAGGATACAATTTAGGATATTTTAAGCTTTATAATTAATTTTAACCTTACATTACCTAGACACAGTTTTTAGCTGGAATGACATCACCAAATAAACTTATATGAGAATATAAATAGATCAGAACTCCAAGTTCATAAAGTTATAGTAATATTTTTTGAGAAACAAAAATATTAAGACAAGTGTGGGGGGATAAAAAGAGCACTTTTAAAAAAAAGTTGGCTATCCAGTAAATGTTTATCCCTCTTGTTTCCTTCCTTCAGTGTTTCCTTTTTTATTTCTGAATATTTGATTTAGACACCTTTTCTTAAAACCACCATATGATAAATATATTTTTGACTATTGACTAGACCAAAGCGGTAAAACATTAAGCCGAATCCATTTTCAAGACAAAAAACAAAAAAAACTAAGAATTGAGCTCCACTTTTTTTCTTGTTTTAGATTCAAGTAGGATTCAGCATGCTGTTTGTGCTCTTTCTTTAATACGATCAACATGATTTTCTTTATTCATACAGACACAAACCCACACATTGTAATAAACCTCCAACTGTCAGGTGTATAATTAGCTTTAGCTAAAACACTGCAGGATGACTCTAAGCTAAAATTCCAGTTTGTTTCCCATCTCTAGTGTATTGCCACTCCTTCCATAGGAGATGTTTTCCTCTATTTGTCTAATATTTCAACATCTAAAAGCTCTGGAGCTCCTGCTGGTCTGTTTTTCCATAACAAATAAGCAGTAGAAACAAGGATTGAAGTTTGGTTTTCCGTTCTGGATTCATATTTCTAGAACTTTGCAAATGCATGTGTGAATGAGGGAAAGAGCCTGAAAAAAAGATCAGTTTGCAATGCAGAATTATTGATCTACAGAGCTGTCATTGGAGGAAAGCAGAGATGTTGCTTCAGACAAAATGCATGATTCATAACAGAGTCAGTCAATCAGTGTGGCGCCGTCCCCTGACATGTTGCGACTCTTCTCCCCCGCAGAGCACTAAGAACTGGCGGGCTGCCGTGGATCTGACGGGACGGTTGTTGACAGCTCATGGTCAGGGATACGGAAAGGCCGGCCAGCCAACCTCTCACACCACTGACTCACTGCAGGTAGTGACTTCTCCTCATTCATCCATTCCTCTGTTTGTACCCATCGATCGCAGTTTCTGTTGGTAGCAGAAATGATAGGAAAAGTCTTCTAGGTTGCTGCAATCGAATTAGTCTTTAGCTGCAAATAAAACTCATTTAGTAATTAGCATTAGTACTGTTAATGTTCCATTTCTTCTTCTGATGTACATCTGCAAATGTTGAATTGCATTTTATTCCAGATAATGTTTAAGTGGCACTGCTCAGAATGAAGTGTATATTGATTGACCTCAACTGAAAAGATAAAAGCATTGCTTTAGATTTGAAGAAAAGAGTTATTTTATCTATTAAATCACATTCGTTTGATAAACGAGTTTGTTTCATGTGTGTGTTTCCAGCTCTGGTTTGTGCGGCTGTCTCTTCTCACCAAGTTGAACCTTTTCCAAAATGCTGAACTGGAGATTGAACCCTTTGGCAACCTCGACCAACCAGATCTGTACTATGAGTACTATCCAGCTGTTTACCCTGGGAGGAGAGGTACGAGCATATTCACCACATTATTTTCTGGCATTAACATTCTACGTTGAAAGCACTTTTGGTTTTGACCACACAGGTCAGACGCTCAAAGTTAGGTACTCCTCAGCCGAACAACCGTGATTTATTTATTTATTTAATTTATTTTTTTCAAAATTACTTTTCTATTTTATTCGTCCAAAAACCTTTCAATGAAAATTGCTTACAGAGAACTTGAAGTTTAATAGTATTTTTAATAAGAGCTCTGAAAAACTGAAAGCATGCTCTCAAACAAGATTCTGCATTTTAACCAAGTTCTTTGGAAACGCAAGCACACCACCACTGTCCTATTAAATATTCAAAGAAAAGTTCTGCCACAAGCTTGATATTAGACTGTATCATTGAGAAGCTCCAACAGCTCTACTTGTCTCCAGCAGTTCTTTGGTTTTGTTTTTCCTCTTTTTTCCTCTGCATGAATTGCCCTCTAATGTATTCCCATTACTTTGGATCTGCTTCGCCCCTCGGGCTACCACAGTGAAGGCAGCAGCAGAGACACAGCTGCACATACACAACATTTGAAGATGCACTGCACAGCCTTCTAAAGAGAGCGCCGATTGACTTTCCATTGCTCAATATTAAACGCTTTATGCCCTACTAGGTGTTCAGAGACAAACTGGCGTGAGTTGTTGCCTGGCATCAGAATTCGAACATGTCTTTACTCCGGCTCTTGCATCGAATATCTATTACCCGCGATCACTTTCTGTGTATGCCTTGAGACATGACTGCCCCATGTATCTCTCTTCTAAAGGATTGAGATCGACCAAGCACTCAAATAAAAAAAAAAAAAAAAAAGTCGATGTTTGTTTTTTTTTTTTTTATAAAGTGAAAACTTGGAGACAGTGGTAACTTCACTCTTTCAGTGGAAGCGCTTAGGTAGGGGTGGGCAATGAAACAATAACAATATCTGTTGCAACAGACTTGTGATCAATATTAATAGAAAATATGTCCAATAGAATGTAGAATTTCACTAAACTCTGATCCAGAACCACATTGCATTTTGGGAGACGTAGGCAGAGAAAAGGCCTTAGTCAGTCAAATACTGACTAAGATGACTGACTGATGTGATCAACAATCACTCTTAAATAAACTAGCAAAAGCCTAATGTGTAACATTCGCAGTAGCAGTTTCATGTTGTTCCCAACATACTCAGACATTCTTTACTCCTCAAAGTTCTGTGCCCTTGGTTTACTCAAAGCCCTTATGCTTTTATCACAAATAAAAAAAATCTTAGTTCTTTGAAATAGATCATCTTTACCATTCATTTTGACTCACCCAAATGGATTTTGTGTACAATGTTTGTTTTTTGCTTTTTTCAGATATGTTAAAACCAGCAAGCTGAGACAAAATTACCGTTGCCCTGCTAAAGTTCCTAAAAAGAAGCTTTTTTTTTTTTTGCCTTGGTGTTGTGTTTTTGTTAACACTCAGAAATTGAATGAACAGAATTTTAACTGATGATGACACTGCGAGGTGGCACTAAAACAAATATTATCCAAAACTTCACATCATCGTTCTATTGCTTTCCTGCTGTCTTTCTGCCTTTCACATGCTTTGGACAAAATCTTCTGGTTCCTCTCTCACATCTTTAACGCATGTAAAAAAAAAAAAAATTGGAAGAAACTGAATCAAATTTTAGACCATCCAGCAATGACAATTGGACTACAGTACTTACTACTATATTTATTAATCATCAGTTACAAGGCGGTTTACACGTGAAAACGATCCGTGATTACCCTCAGTCAATATAATGAGGTCATTTTTAGCATAGGAATCACATTTCTACACTGCAAGATGACATTATGTTGATGCCTCAGCATACAAATGTCTTTGTTTACTGTCAGTAATCGGTACAGAACTGTTTGCAGGAACTTTTATGCATTTTTTATAGTAGCAGTCAAACATTGTTGTTGGTAGAAATAAACATATTTTGGTTTACACATGCCAGTGCTCACTAACTACAGAAAAAAAAATCAACATTGATAAAAGCAAAGCTGCTAATCTTAAAGCAGGATACAGTGGTCCGCCAATATTTTTCTTTGGTTAGGAAAAACAACCACCGTTTAGTACCATAGAAAGTTAGGAACAAATCATAAATTAGATGGGGAATTGTTTGGTTGGTTGGCATGAAATTTTTCATGTTCTTTTCTCAGCCTAGAATGAGAAGACTCCATCAGTACAAAATCCTGAAGAATCTAAAGGACCAAAATTATTTTTTTATAGAAAAGTTTGTAACCTGTTGCCTTTCTGTCAACCTAACCACCAGAATCAGACTCTATTGCTATTGTACAGAATCGCAACAAAAATGTTTCTGACACTGAGTATCTTGGCTCCATAGAAAGCTGTGTGACTGAGACTAAAACTAGAACTTTTTCCACCGCAGTAATGTGGTTTCAGTAAGGAAGGTTGATGGGAGAGTCTGCCAACCTGTTTCTTTAGTGGTGCAAAGAACCGGCAAGCACATAATAAGCAACAACCACTGTGAGCTGCTCGTAAGTGTTGAAAAGACAGGACCCCTGGTGTTATGAGGACTACAGAGTTAAGACGTGTTCCAGTTACAGCAGCTGTTCATTCACAAAAGAAGCGTGCCTTGATCCTTTTATTTTAATGAAATAACTATCCATACAGCCAAAGAAACCTTCAAAAACCACCAAATTCTAACTAACAAAAGTTCTGGCCGCGAAGTAAAAATGAAATTTTAATCTGATTCCAACTACTAAAGCCCAAAAAGGCTGAGTAATGAATCACTTCAGAAGATAAAACTGTGTAAAGCAGGACAGAATCGCAGACTGTATGTGTTATGGGGGAAAACAAGAGTGTATCATGCCCTCCATTTTTAGATGGCGAACACCAGCGGATAGAGAATATAGATAGAAATTGAGATACACACTGGCAGAAGCAGCAGCCAAAGATGGAGTAGCTCGCAGAGTTTCAGATCAGATGACGGTATCAAAGAGACCCTGATCAAAGCCTGGGGACTCACCTGAACACAGGCTTTTGCTCAGGGGTGTGTGTGTGTGTGTGTGTGTGTGTGTGTGTGTGTGTGTGTGTGTGTGTAAGAGTGTGAATGATGTAGAGGCAGGCAGAGGGATGAGGCAGGGAGATGAGTGATGGAGCTGTGCGGCACACAGAGATGGAGAGATGAGAGGCTTTAATAAGCAGCCATACGTAGCTCGGTGCCATCTGTAGGTTCCTGCCTCCAGGGCTGTGTACAGTCTGTGTGTGGGTGGATGGCTTTATATTCTCATCTTTCTGTCTTCACTCTCCTGCTTCGTTCCCAACCCACCCCGTTCCATATTGTCCCTTCTTCCTTGCACATTTTTTCCCTCTCGTTCCTGTCTTCCCTCCACCCGTCTCCACCCTTTTTTTTGTGTGTGTTGTTTTTCATCCAGGCTCAATGGTGCCTTTCTCCATGCGGCTGCTGCACGCCGAGCTTCCCCAGTACCTGTCCAAACCCCAGGAGGCTCTGGACCGCCTGCACAACCTCAAAACTGTCTGCCTTGCTGTTAGTGGGCGCACACACACACACACGCACACACGCTCACAGCCTCAAGATGACGTTTTTAGTCTCCTAACAATTTTTGAAGTCACTAAACTTCCCTAAAATGTTGATATTTTTAAATTAATCTGGAATGCACGCTTTGTCTTGAAAAATAAGTTATAGGTCTGAACAAGTACAGAAATAAGAAACATCATGTACATAAAAACTTTTTTTTTCCTTCTTCTTGCAAAAGCAAAAAAGATTAATTTCTGCAAAAAAAAAAAAAGTATCTGACACAATCATTTATGGATTTCAAGTTGCTATTTTGCTTATTGACATTCATTCAAACATGTATAAATTAGCATAGTTGTATAGCATTTCAGAGTGATTAAATAAGCCTCTAAGCTGTTGGAAAATCTAAAATGAAAATTTGATTATCTTAAAGATTTTAAGATTACGACATTTTCTCAAAGATTGTGTTTAACGATAGCAGACTCAATATTTTAATAAGGAAGTTTCAAGTTAGTATTATATTAATGAGCATTAAATACTATTTAACACTGGATTTTGAAAATAATAATAAAATATAATTGTGCCTTAAAGAAGCTAGGTCCTAAATCTGGCTCCATAAATGTTCTGACAGAGTAGGATTTGGACAGAAAAGATAGATGTTTATTTTAATTATTTAACTTTTGGAAGATGAAAATTGAAATTATGATTATTGCTGAGAATAAAATTTAAACAGTGATGGTGTTAAAAAGTATTTTGTTTTAATTTGTTGAGACTTGCAGAAACATTGATTAAAAAAAAAAAAAACACAGAAAAAAAGCCTAAATATAATCTGAGAACTCATTTTATTTGTTAACATGCTTGTGCTATTTAAAATGCAGGCTCTGATTTAAATTCCCTGCCTGCACAGATACTAGAAAACCTGGAGAAAGGCTTGGCAGAGGATGGCAGCATGATCACCCTAGCACAGGAGAACAGGCAAGGTAAGCAAACACACCGCAGAGAATCCGACCTGGCTGCGTTCCCAGACTGCATCGCATCGTGGGAGGAAAGTCAGGTCACGGGCCTGAACAGTTAATCCAGATGCACACCTGGCGCAGGACTGCAGCATACCTCAGCCACACATACAACCCACCCAGTCTCAAGCACACACCTATGCAGTAAAAGTGTTTAGCCCCTCACAACTCCGCTGCTCTCACTGAATGTTAAATGTTCTCTACAGCTCCTCACGCCATTCGGATCAATACGGATCAATCCTGCCAATCCACTCACATCTGCGCTGGAGTGGGCGAGGGAAATTTACCCAGATCCGCCTCCACGCAACTTGAATCAGACCTAGAATCGGGGCCATGTAGCTTCTAAATACTTCTTCGGCATGTGTTTATCAGTTCGAAAATGTGCCCACCGATGGCTTCAGCTGAGCTAAATACTGGAAAATTAGCTGGGTGACGCATGTATGACTGTATCCGTGAGGGCGCCTCGGTTCAGCCGGTTTCTCCTAACAAAAGCAGCGTAATGGCTGTGTCCTCTTTCTCTCCTACCCACACAGACAGTCGATAACGCAGGGCCTTGCCTTCACACATCAGAACCCCACTGAGTGATTAGCTCTTCCCTCAGCTCCGTCTCCCACAAACACAGTGATGAATAGTAACAGGCTCTTCCCACAGCAGACAAAGAGGAAATGTGCCGCAGTGTCTTCCTCAGCACCTCGCCTTAAAATAACCCAGGTGTTACAGCTGGTTGTAATGCGAGGGATGGAGGAGCGAAGAGTGCGGCGGCTTTTCAGAAAACTAGGATATCTCAGGAATACCCAAAAAGCGATGGGAGTGAAAATAGAAAGTCATTGAACCCCTCCCTTTTTCACCGTCTCTCTTTCCTGTTTATAGCATCCCTAAAACTGTGGAGGTCTCGTCTCAGTCGGGTCATGTACTCCATGGCCAACTGCCTGCTGCTGATGAAGGTGGGTGCGTGTGTTTGTGTGTCACTGTGGGTGTGAGTCTCAGAGATCTCTGATGCCAGGCTGGTGGTGGATTCACAGTGAAATCCCCACAGACTGACCACTAATTGGATTCTTGGTCAGAGAAAGAACGAGCGGAGAGCAAAGAGGGGGGAGGTGATGGCGGCGTGGGTTCACATCAGGCCGTTGACAGAAACACAGTGCCATCTACTGCTGAGACATGATATTACAGTCAGCGCAGTTTCATTCCGGGCTTGGATTCTGATCCCCAGCATCCCGGTTTTGCATTTTAGGATTGTGTTTAATACTTCTCCTTCAAAAGATGACAAAGACCCACACAAAAATCAGCTTTTTTTTTTTTTTACAATTTTTTTTTTTTAAATGTTGCTCTGTAAGTGTTTAGTTTTCTCTTATTTTTTCTTTTCTTCACAACAGTTAGAGTCCTTCTAGGTTTTCCTGATGATCAGTTCCCCAGATTTCCTGAAGAAGAAGACAATAATTATAATAAAAGTAATGATAACGTAGAAGTAGTTTTTTTAAACAAATGACGAACATCCAGTAATTTCAACAGAATTTTTTTTATAATTTTTTTTTTTTTTTACTACTTGGCCATGTGTTGATATTATATGGAGTTATCCCTTGAGTTTAGAATGCTTTTTATGCAAGACCCATAGCTCAGAGATGGGTGAAACATACAAAAAAAAAAAAAAAACTGTAAAAAAAAATTTTAAAAAAAAGGGGGAAAAAAAGCCAAAATATGCAAATAGCATTTAAAGGACCTTTCAGAAACCTGAAGAATTTTAGATCAAAAACCTCGTAAAGTAAATTCTGCATTTTTTTTTTTCTTTTTGAATCAAAATGTAAAGAAATGAAGGTCCTATCCACATTAAACTCGATTTAAAGGTAAAGTCAAAAGTTTGAGTGTATTCATATGCACATGCATGTTCAGTACACGTCTCCTGTACTGAAGGAGGAGGACTCGGTACACACCGAGTCCACACACACCCCTCTCTGACCTCTCTGCGGCGTGTCGCTCAGCTTTCAAGTCGCCAAGTGAGCGATGTGTCGCAGCACATCGTCGGCGTGGGTGGAGGGTCACGGTGTCCTGCTAATACTCCAACTGTTTGACTTCGCTCCCTCCAAACTCTGCCCTGTTTACCTCTCTCCACCGTTGTCTTTTGTTTCACTCCTTCTCCACTCATTGTTCCCACTCACCGAATGCAATCTTGGAACCTATTTGTCCTCAGGACTACGTTCTGGCAGTGGAGACCTATCACTCCATCATCCAGTATGAACCCCAGCAGAGAGTGCAGCTGCTCAGCGGAATCGGACGCATCTTCTTGCAGGTCTGTGCATCACCAGATGGACGAATGGACTGTAAGACTCCCTGGACACAGAATTAATTATCCTAGCTTTGCACAGTATGCCTTATGCTCCAATAGACCAAAAATAAACCCCCCTTTTATTTTCTGTTAAAGAGGCTTTGATTAACGTTGTGCAAATGCAAAAACCAGTCGTTCATATTTGGTCTTTTTAAAGGCAGGGATGGTTTGACGTATTTTGTTATGTTAGAGGATTATTTTTCTTTTGACATGCAATAAATATATTTTTTAAAGTGTTGGTGTCTTTCAGCTTTGGGTTCATGCTAAACAAAAGCCCCTGAAATCAAGAGGTCTATGCAGCTCTTTCTCAGCAACAAGTTTTTATTGAAAAACGTTGATCCTGCAGTTTTTGGCAGTCACACAACTTGGTTGTACTTGCTTAATGACTTGACCATAATGCCACCTTTTTAATGTTTGTGCTGCATTAAACAAGTGCCGCCACATATATTACAGGCATAGAGAGCTTGAATGCATGGTACTTGAAAAATTAGCAAACACTTATTGCAGTCCAGGCTGAGTGGTATTGTGATTTCCATAAATTTGTGAGAGTAAAGTTACAAAGAGCATTTTGTTCCAGATGCAACTTCCATTTGTCTTTTACATAACAGATGTTTTATGCACATATAAAACACCCCTAAACGTTTATATGTTGGAGCTACTCTAGCAAAAAATGTTCTTTTGGATTTTTATATAATATTATGGTTTGTTGTAAATACCAGTCATTACTTCCATGTGTGTTAGGAGAGGAAGTCACAGATGTAAGAACTTGCTGCTGGAAGCCGATTGAGAACGGATGGGTTTCTATTCCAAAACAGTGTTTAGATCTTGTTAGATTTTTTTTTTTCTGCAAGGATTTTTCGTCCTTGCAGATTTTTTTTCCTTTCCTGTTTTTTTTTTTTTTTTTCTGCTCTAAGAATTTAGAGGTGTTCTCAGGCAAAGACATAGATCAGCAGTTAATGTAATGTAGTTAATGTGCTTTGTTATTTCCCAGATCGGAGACGTGAAAACTGCAGAAAGATACTTCCAGGACGTGGAGAAAGCCTACGAGATGAAAGGGAGTAACCTCAGTCACGCTACATGCATCCTAATGAACAGGTACATGCAGATCAAGTGTTTTGCACCTATGAGGTACAATTTGTGCTCATCTGGGAACAGAATACACACATTTGTGCCTGATTTTCTAAACAGAAGGTAGCATCTCTGCTCTCTGGCCTGAGGTGGTGGAACGTATTAAATAACACCGGCATGTGTTAATGATTACTTCAGTAAAAGGTCTGAACTTTGGATGATTGCGACAGCTTAATGTTTTTTCCCCTTTTTTTGGTGTTCTGTTGTGGATTTGCTGCTATTTTTTGAGTTAATTGGGAGGAAGGTTCATATCATCAGAGGCAAACTACAGAGATAATCTGAAGCAATGTTTTTAAAATATTAAAGTAAAAATTAAAAATACTAATTCATTCTCTGTATTACATTGAGAAAAAAAAAATAGTCTGTGCAATGTGACCAGCAGGTGGCAGTGTGGATTACGTTGCAAATTAAACAGAATGGATCGTTTTTAGACATATTTAAAAAAAAAAACTATACAGATAACATGATTTAAGTGCCTTCATGTTAAATGAATGAATCAAGTTCTGTTGTGTTAGCTAGCTATCGCTTCCCTGAAGCATAATTGTAAAACAGCACTACCTGTAAAAGAGAGATAGATGGCACTGTCTTTAGTTTGTCTTTAGCCAGCTGATCTGCAGTGTGCAGCAACAAAGTGGACATGGGCAGTGGATGAATAAAACGATTGACTTTCCCGTTTCTAAATTTGTGAGAATAATATCTGAGTGTAACATATTTCTACCTGTTTTTCAGGGCCTTTGTCTACCTCAGTCAGAATAATTACGCTGACGCACACGCAACTTTCCTTGAAGTTTTGAAAATTGACCCAAAAAATCCAGTTGTAAGTATAACTATATAAGTATTAGTCTACACATGAGAAGCTTTAATTAGTGTGGTTGGATTTTCTGTCTTTTTACCCAGGGGAAAAATGCAACAATTATGTCAAATATCTTTGAAATGTCCAACTAATTTCTATGGAACGACCTTTTGTTTTTATTTTGTTTGTTTGTTTGTTTGCTTTTACAGGCAAATAACAACGCTGCAGTGTGTCTCCTCTACTTGGGCCGGCTAAAGGAGTCCTTGGGCCAGCTGGAGGGCCTGGTTCAGCAGGACCCCACCCAGTACCTCCATGAGAGCGTCCTCTTCAACCTGACCACCATGTATGAACTGGAGTCGTCGCGCAGCACGCAGAAGAAGCAGGCGCTGCTGGACGCCGTGGCCTGCCGGGAGGGAGACAGCTTCAATGCGCAGTGCCTCAAACTGGTCTGAAAAGAAGAAGGACAACTGGGAGAGAACTGTGCTGCTGCTGCTGCTGCTGCCCCGCGTTAACGACGGGTACTACAGCTCTGTGTTCAGAGAGGAACTAAGCCGTACTCCAGTGGGACAGTAAAACCAACGCTTGCTGTTCAGTTTCAGAGATGTTAAAAGGGGACGTTTGAGATCGGCTTTTATCGCACTAAAGTGATCCAGCACTCCTGCCATGTGAGCAGCGACCCAGAAACAGTCCTCACACTTACAGCATTTTGAGACTGAAAGAATTTGTGGTGAATGTCCTTATTTGTTGTGTTGTTTTTTTGCTGCAGCTCTGCATAAATACTGAGGGAGTGGATGTCTGGCTCCAAGGCTAAAAAAAAAAATAATCCAACTATGTAATACATAAGCTTTGTTAAACCACTTTGAAATCTGGAGGACAAAAACATTACATGAGGGTCATGAGAGGGCACAGCTGCATGTTTCACTTGACTTTTAAAGCAGCGTTTCTTTTTTGTCACTACATACTTTTCTCTTATACAAACAGGGTTCCTACACATATTTCCAGACTTTATGCAGACCCAAAATAATCCGAATCCTCAGTTCTTTTGAAGACGGGTTTTAAAAGTATAAATAACAAAAACTTATGTTTCTAAATTGGTCTGGACTTAAGGGAGAAGTTTAAGCAGAAGACAGAAACAAATGACGGACGGACAAAAATGCAAGAAAGATGAAACACTGAAAGAGGGATGGAAATGGATAATAATAGAGAGATGACTGGGCCGACATACTGGCAGAAAGATGGAAGAATGAATGTGTGGCTGAACAGATGAATAGATGGAAGGAAAAGACTTTTAGTGAACGGGATAAGGAGCGAGCCTGGTAATATTAATGTTCTTTCCTCACCCAAACCTAAAAAGCCTCTTAAATAAAATTCAGCAGTTTTCCAGACCGCTTAGGAACTGAGTGCAAGCTTTTCTACACCCAGACACTGATCAGACAGAATCCTCAGTTTTATCTACTAAAAGTTGTTTCTTTGGTGGTTCATTCTTACCTGGATGAAGTCATGTTAGGTTTTCTTTAGCTCTGCTCCAACCATCAGGTTGCGTGTGCAACACGACTCAAAATATTCTGGATGAATCTGCGTTAAAATTTTAACTAAATCTGGGATAATGCTTGATCCACATCAGTGATTTTTCTCTCTCTCTCTCTCTTTGCCCAGCTGAAATGTGGTTCTTTTTAGGCCCGTCTCTTTAAGCCGTCACATGACCCTCTGCTCAAAGACTATTGCAGCAAGACCAACCATGAAAACAGCCCCGTCTTCTGTAGTTAATTCAAAAAGACACGGTAGGCTGCTCTCTAAAATCAATAAATACATTTCCAAAACATTCCTCTCAGTAAATGTACTTTAACTGAGAAATTCAAAATTCCAAAATAAATAATGATGTAGATGAGCAGTTTTCAGAAACTTTTAGTCAGGAGGACGTGTTGTTACACTACAGGAGCTGCTGGCTCACAGTGAGACCAGGCCTGGGCATTATCCTGAGCTTCAGACTCCTTAAACTTTTTTTTAATGCAGCTTCTACACGATTACCACTAGATTTCATCACTCCTGCAGTGAAAATTAACAAGCCCCTCAGATTGCATCGGTTTCATTCCCACTGAACAGAACTGTAAAAATATTCAAAATCCAAAGTTGTACATATCTGAAGCGTTGTCTTGATTATCTTTTTGATTTGTTTTGCTTTTTCTTCTGCTGTTATCTTTATGTTTATCATATTTATGTATACAAAGAGCCATTTTATCCTGAATAAAATAATTGTGTCGCAGTAACATGCTGGAATGAATAAAAATGGAATAAAAGACAAATTATTAGCAGCAGATTTATTTCTAGTGTAATAAAAATGTACATTGATCTGTCATGAACACCATCTTGTTTATTTCCTGAGCTTGGAATTAGAAATTAGGCTCATGCTTTATTTATTACAAATGAAGGCACTCGTCTTTTGTTGCTGGCAAAGAAGTCACCTTTTAGTGAAATGACTTCAAACATCTTATATTTTACCCAGGTAAAATATAAAAAGCATGAGTATCTAAAGAAACTAATAAGTGTGCTCCTAAAAAGCACCATGTAACCTTTTAAACAGCACAAATGAGTAATCTGATGCCTTCCACCTCAAGATCTCTTTCCTCATGAGTCTTCTTATGAACCTGCTGAGGTCAAACTGAAGGAGGTGATTTTAGTGTATTAGTTGGGAGGGAGTCTGCAGCTGTTCAGGATCCCTGCAGCGAGGCCACATATTTCTTCCGGATGTCGGAGTCGTCTGCCGGCCGGTTGTAGGCCTTCCACACCGGCTCCCCGACAAACAGCCGCATGGCTTTGGTGTAGTTCTGCAGGAAAAAAAAAAAAAAAAAAAAAAAAAATTTTCAGACCGACATCCCAGTTCATCGTCTACATAAACAAAACTCAACAACCTGTCCAGTTCACACACATTAATTAGGTTCTGTGCAATGATTAAGGGAAATCGTCAAAAACACGCTTCTGTTGGCTCTGGCTTCAAGGCGCCTCCTTCAGGTGTCGTTTTGGCTCATTCTTCAAATCCTGACAGTTTTGGAGACCTCCTCTATAAACTGCAAGCTTTAGTTCTTTCAGTAAATTTCTGACTTATTTAATGCTTTTACCCGCTTTGCATAATTGCTAAATTAGCGAACTATCAGGTGTGTTAAATCTTCGACGTACCATCTCATCCAGGGTGAAGCGGTGGTAGATGCCGGCCGGCAGGGTGATCAAGTCTCCCTTTTTCATGGCGATTCGGATCCATCGGTCCTCCTTGTCCCGGACATCAAAGTAGGCCTGCCCGTCCAGGATGTAGCGGATCTCATCATCCAAATGTAAATGCTCCTCATAGAACATCTTCAGCTGAAGTATAAGGAATAGTAGTAGAATTAGTATCTGAGACAATAGTAGAAATGCTAATGATGCCTATATCAGTAAGAATTGCCGTATGTGTAATGTACCTGAGGGTTTGTCACCCATCCAAACTCATTACTAAAGAACATAGGAAACCTGCAAGCTTTAAAATAATCTGTTTCAATATGTGAGTTTGTCTTTGTGCTCCTTAGTAATACTGCCGAATTTCTTTACAGCTTCTATAGATTTCTTTTTTGTTGTTGTTTGGCGGGTTTGGGATTATTAAAAAAGTCGAGATTATGGATTGATGAGACAGGAGCATGAAGAAATATTAAGCTAAGAACGCTGGATCACTTGTTCTCCCATTAATTAATAATATTAGAAAGACATTAAATATGTGGTCAATTTAATATTATCATTTTTTTCTGAATATAATGTATATTTATTCCTTTATTTTGTTTTTCATTTAACCGAAGCAAATACAGTAAATACTAATTCAAATATATAAAACATATAGATAGGTGTAAAGCATTGAGGTTTTGAGCCAAATATTATTTAAACCCTGATCTCTGGTTAGGCTTTTAAGGATTTTAACATTAAATGTTTGTAACATACTTATTTTAACAACTTATGTTGTCCACTCACGCTTAAAAAGAACATTTCAATTTGTTTGTATCCGTAAAGATGAATTAAGCATTGAAAAATAAATCTGGAATGTGGTCATAACTCATGCATTAAGAGAGAGCATAAATAAATATGACATTAAAAATACAATTAACTGCAGTTTACTGGTGTAGTTAAGTATGATTGATAAGTTGTTGATTTATTGTGTTTGCAGAACTTCGACTGCAATTTTTTTTATCAATATCTATGTCCTTATGACAACAAATCCTGCTAAATATCATTACATCTCCATATTGCCCATCCTGATGGAGAACTCAAAAGTTGTACTCAAGAAATTGCACAACTTTCAAAATATGTTTAGACAAGTGGAAGCAAAAGAGTTACCTTTTCCTCATAGTTGGGTAGTTCGTCCCTTGCGATTGTAATAATGTCCATGTAGGAGTATCCTTGCTCTTTGCGGATCTTTTTCAGCTCTGGATCCGTTTCATGGGCATCAGCATTCAGCTGCAGGGACACAGTAAGCAAAAGCAGAGCTGCTCAGAACGGTATGGTTTGTGCCATTAAGACGCTGTGAGAGTTAAAGTGGTTGCATTACTATGAGGAATATACTTCTGCCAACTGGTGTCGAGCAGCAGCTGAGGAATGTGTGTATTTACTTTCCAGTAGAAAACTCCGAGCTTCCTCAACTCGTCCAGGGAGACGGATTGATTCGGGTTCAGCCTATGGGGCTTCCTCTGGTCCTCGTCTGAGCCGTCCATGTACCAGGCTTCTAAACCCATACTAAACACGTCCGGCTCGGTTTTCACTCGCAAACAATTAAAAACGAAAGAAATCTGCGATAAATCCTTGACAAATGCGCTTTTCGGACTAAAACTCATGTGACGGACGCAGTACGTCTTTTGTTGTCACGGATTAAACCAATCACACTGAGATGTCCCGCCCCGTTGTCTTTGAGCGATCCAATCACAGCGCGAACAAATGCTGCGTTCAGTTATATCGGAAAAGTCAATATTGCATAACTCTGATAAGGAGCAATATAACTGAATTTATCTTCAGACGTGAACATGTACCATTTCCATATTCACTACATAATTAAAATTTAGTATTTCAGACATTTGGTCAATTTAATCTTAATTTTACTCAAAGCGTTACTTCTAAGCGTAGAAGCGTATGTTTAAGGGGCGGAACATAAAGCAGCACGCGAAATCAGTGTGCCAGGGTTCAAAATAAAAGTCCCACAAACTAAGGGCATTCATATCAGTATATGTAAACCTCTGACCTCAATTGCATTCATGAACTTAGTCTGATTAAGATGTTACAAGTACAACCACATGGTATACAAAATAAAAACAAGGTATACTTTCTCAGTTATGAATTAACAACACAGAAAAAAAATGGCCTGTTTTAAAGGCCTTTGAAACAAACACAAATACAAATATTTATGTAAAAAGAAATCACCAATACTACACAGCTGTAGTTTAATGCTCTGAGTGGTTTATTAATCGAGTAATATATTTGTGCCCGTCTTAGTTAATGGCACTGGAAATGATGAATCAATGTCCAGCTTCCATCTCCTCCTCCTCCTCTGCCTCCTCTTCTTCGTCTTCTCCCTCCTCCTCATCCTCCAGCAGAGCATCACGAGAGACCATGTAATCGGCCATGTTGGGGAGTCCGGATATCACGCAGCAGCTAAGGGCGCTACGGAAGATTTCCATGTCGCAGACCTCAGTCCACATATCTGTTAAGTTGTTGTAACACTCAACGTTGTAGCAAGTGGTATAGCCATTGAAGCCCCCAACAACAAAGAGCCTATCTTCAACCACCTCAATGCCGAAGTTGCTGCGGGTCGTAATCATGGAGCCCACGTTCGTCCAGAGATTAGTCTCAGGGTTGTAGGCCTCAGCAGTGCGCAGACGCCTGTTGCCATCAAAGCCACCGACCTGTTGGAGAGAAGGAAAGTGTGCTGGTTCAGGTGTTCAAGCAAGTTAGTACCTCATTCAACACCAGGACACACAAGGAACAGCATTAAAAAAAAAAGAAGAAGAAAAAAAAAGCAACAACTAAGACCAAAAATATACACAATCTAAAGTTCTAAATTTAGTAGGTTTTGATTTTAAGATGAGCAACTCAACCCAAATAATTACCTTGCCATGGTCATTGGCTTAGGTCTGGATTTCGTCGATAAATTCAACGACATATCTTTAAAAGGATTCATCATCATTTAGCAAGGAAAAAAGAACAAAATAACATTGGGAGATTGGACAGAGTTTTATTCTTTGTCAAGAAAAACATTTGTCTGAAAAACTGTGATGTTTTCAAGATTACTGGCACCATAGAGTAGCCAGTAAGTCCCAGATCAGAATTATGATCTGGGACTTTTGTCCTTCAATGGAGCTTCAGTTTGTGCACGGTCGTCACACCACGGATAACACAGACAATGCAGGTAATACAGTAATCGTCCCTCTTGACTGAGTGTCCCAGTGTTTTCTGTGTCCACTATTTTAACAGGGCAGCAAGGCACGTTACCACACCCATCAGAAAAGTTACTTGTTCCAGGAGAATACCCTCTTTTTTAAACCATCCTACATGTTCTCCTGATCCAAATCCCACTAAAAGCATTTTTTCCCGCTGGTCCTTAACATTTTAATGAGGAGCATATATCAGTTTTATATGAAGGCTTGTTAAAACTTTTTACAAAGTTGCTATGGTGTTTTATTTGCAAAGGACACAACTAATGTCAGAAAAACAAACACCTAAAAAAAAAGTCCAGGCAATGCACAACATAGGCAAGAAATATTTTAGTTATTTTCTTTTATTTCAGACTTCAGTTACAGCTGGAAAAATAATTATTACATTGTATATTATATTAACATAATTTTATAATTACCTTTTGTCTAATA